TTGCGGTCGGGGCAGGCTGCTGCACTCGGGAGGCTGGCTTAGCTGTAAGGAGCCAGCACCATGTCCTGCCCAAGGGACTGGCCCTGACTCCTGCAGCTGACCAGCCCTAGGGCAGCATTTTGCCCCTAACAAGACCCTCCAGCCCCTAAGATCTCAACAGGAGGGTCACTTAGCCCAGCATGCTCACTCTCCAGGCGTTGGATGAAGCTGATACTGCTGCAAATAAGGTGCCCCTCTGACACAAGCCAGGACTTTGGTGTCAGTCTCACCCCCTGTCCCCCTCAGGTGCAGTAGCACACCTCAGCCTTGTCACCAGCCAGGTGCTGTCACTGTCCCACCTCCCTCAATCCTGGATGTTGTGCAGATCATCCTACACCCCCTGCACCAGCACGGCCAGGATGTGGCACTCTGCAGAGCACTGGTGGCTGAGGACAGGTTCTGCACCCCAAAACCTGCACCCAGCAAGGCTGAACACCCCCCCAGGGAGGAAGGGGCTGGCAGGGGAGTGGGGAAGGGGATCCTGTCACACCCCCTCACACAGTGGGGCCACCAGGGTGGTGACATCCCTCAGACTGCAGGAGCAGGACATCACTGCCAAGGAAGGCCAGTGCCATAGCCTGGACCCCCATCACCCTTGGGGCCCAACCCCACCCTGTGCAGGTCAGACTAGGAGGAAAAGAAGCAGAGGCAGCCCCAGGACCCCCTGGGGAAGCAGAGGTGTTGGTGAAATAACTTTATTTAGTGTGATACACGGCTGTGGTCAGACAGTCCATACTCATAGTAATAGTCACACTCTGCTAACAGCTAGGAGACAGCAGGGCCAGACACACACTCAATATTATACACATCCATAGAGAAGACAGTGGGAAGTGAACTATTTTATTTCACTAGTTACCCCCCCTCCCCCCCCATTACTTAGGGCCTCCCCCCTCCCTCCCCCCAGGTCCGTGACTCAGAACAACACAACAGCAGAGCAGCTCACATCTGCCTGTGAGAAGGGGACAGCAAAACCTGTTCTACAGCAGACATGGACACACCGACAAACATCAGCAATTCCCACACAACAGGGCTATGTACAGAGGAGGGGGCTGAGCTTCCTGCTGGCACTGGGACCCAGCTCTGCCAGCTGGGACTGCAGGAAAAGGGGTGGACACTCCAGAGTGAAATGGGCAAAAACATCCCTGCTTCCTCCTGCAGGCCAGCTGGGCCCGAGGGGAAGGGGCAGGGCTCTGGGGAACAAAAAGGTCAGTCACCTGCTCACTGGTAACTTGCTGCCAGGGGACTGTCATCTCCCCAGGGGACTGCCAGCTGCCAGCTCCCAGCCCTTGGCTGCCCCTTCTCACCCTCGACACCTACAGGCTGTGCCAGTGACCACAGCCATCCTGCCAGGGGTGTCACCCACCACCAGACACTGTTGTCCCCACCCGTCACACCACGGTCAGTCGTGCTCCTGCCCGCCAGCGAGACACAGGCCGGGTGATGAACAGAGCAGTGAGGGGCTTGGAGCCATCCACGGCTTCGTTCTCCTTGCTCTCAACAAGCCTGCAGACTTCTGGTTAGCACAGATGGATGAACAACCCCCAGCAAGTCTCTGAGAAGTTCTACTGATGTCATCAGGACCCAGGGGCAGAGGACAGTGCCCAACCTCCGAGGTGAGGAAGTGACACCAGGAGTCACTTCAGCTGCTGTGTTATGTTCCTGCTCTCCTCTACCCAGGCCTGACAAATTCCTGCACTGCTCATCTTTGCTTTGGCAATGTTGAAACTACCCCAAAAGTGAAATGGCTCCCAGCTCCATCCCCCAGAAGTCTCCTAGAAAGGCAGAAGCAGCTGGGTATGATTTCCTGCAGCAGCAACCTAGGCAGGAGAGCAG